TGTAATATTGTAATATTGTGTTTATTTGATGTATATCTGATTTATCTCATATAGAATGCGTTTGGTTAAGTTAAAAGAGTTTACCGGTGCGTGTTTCAGCGCGTTGTTATGGGAAGATCGCATCCACAACCGGATCACACATTCTGACTATAGCATGCAATAACTGCGTCATTTGTCATTTCATATATAAGTTGTAATATTATGTTTATGTTGTATTAATATTAATCTCAGGATGCATTTCCTTGAGTTAAATAAGCTGCCAGCAAAACGCTTCAGTTTACCATGTTCATTCAGCTCTTCAGCTTCAGCACGTGCAGCTCAACGGCTGCTATTTAAAACAGTGGTATTAATTTGTTACTTTTTCAAAATCATTGATATATTATTAATAACAACAACCACTTGTATTTTATGTTGAAGTGTTTGGGATGTGGCTTTTAATGATGAGACCTTTTTTGTAATCAGGCTCTCAAAAAGTATATAACAATTTGGATATAGATTTATCGGCCAACATATCGGTTATCGGCTTTCAAAAATAAAGAATAATCGGTTATCGGTATCGGCCAAAATTTTCATATCGGTGCATCCCTAGAACCATTTAATAAATGCTGAGAATAAGCATTATGTAGAAGGAGACGAAAGGAATTTTTAAAGACAGAGGCCGACTTCCAAATCGCATGCTAGCATAGTACTTTTACTTTTTCTGCCATTTGTATGTACTTATAAGTACACAAGTCAGCAAAATATATAACACTGTTCTAGTGGTTTTTGGATATTTTAATAAAAACATCTTACATATTGTGCCTTTAAGAAAATAACATACATTTGTCCTTTTTAATATAATTAGACCTCATATTTGCTCTGTTTGTCTGTCAGGAAAATATGGAGGAGCCAGTTTCTGTCCATGAGATGGACACCAGTAACGGAGTCCTCCTGCCCTTCTATGATCCTGATACTAACGTGGTCTACCTGTGTGGAAAGGTAAATGCTTCGGTTTCAAATAAATCCTGTTATTTTGGAATTTCTGTTCCTATTTTGGAATGCGTCACTGTTTTCTTTAAAACAAAACATGAAGCAGCACAACAGTTGTCAACATAGATAATAAGAAGAAATGTTTCTTTAACACCAAATCAGCATATTAGAATGATTTCTTAAGGATCATGTGACACTGAAAACGGGAATAATGGCTCCTGACAATTCATCAGTTCAGAATGAAATTGTACATTTAAATTGCAGTAATATTTTACAATATTACTGTTTTTACTGGATTTTTAGTCAAATAAATTCAGCCTTGGTGAGCATAAGAGACTTCTTATATATAATATATATATATATATATATATATATAATATATTTATTTTTTTGGATTGGATTGTTTATATATTATGTAGTTGATTTAGTCTAGGTTTTGCTGGTTTTTCATAAACTTCTGAAATTTTTCAGGGCTCCAGACTGCGCCGCATTTGTTACCAAAATATTAATTTTGTGACGTTTTTGCTGAGATCGCCACTGGCGACTATATAAATTTGCATGTAATGCCTTTTATCCTGCTTGTTTTGCGATCACATCATTTGTTATGTTGACGTAATAAACTGAGGTAAATGCTTCGGTTTCAAATAAATCCTGTTATTTTGGAATTTCTGTTCCTATTTTGGAATGCGTCACTGTTTTCTTTAAAAAAAAACATGAAGCAGCACAACAGTTGTCAACATAGATAATAAGAAGAAATGTTTCTTTAACACCAAATCAGCATATTAGAATGATTTCTTAAGGATCATGTGACACTGAAAACGGGAATAATGGCTCCTGACAATTCATCAGTTCAGAATGAAATTGTACATTTAAATTGCAGTAATATTTTACAATATTACTGTTTTTACTGGATTTTTAGTCAAATAAATTCAGCCTTGGTGAGCATAAGAGACTTCTTTAAAGAATAGTAAAGTATCTTACTGGCTTTTGAATGGTGGTGTTAGGCCTGGGCGATAAAACGGTATTGGTTGATTTAGTCTAGGTTTTGCTGGTTTTTCATAAACTTCTGAAATTTTTCAGGGCTCCAGACTGCGCCGCATTTGTTACCAAAATATTAATTTTGTGACGTTTTTGCTGAGATCGCCACTGGCGACTATATAAATTTGCATGTAATGCCTTTTATCCTGCTTGTTTTGCGATCACATCATTTGTTATGTTGACGTAATAAACTGAGACGATGCGCATCAAAGTTTTAGTGGAAAAAGTCCTCATCTCTGCCGAACGCCAGCGATGACGGCACACCTGCTGCTCCAGTTGTGGCAGCATGAGAGAGACCGAAAATGACGGAGACGTGTGAAGTAAAAGTGCAGAAAAAGCAGTGCCTATTTCGTGCACAACTTGAACAAACTACAACAGGTAAAGCTGTCAGCTGTGTGGGCATTAGCAGTGTCGTTAACAATTCTTGTTTATAATCGATACCAATAATATGGCTTCTTGTTATCAAGATCTTTAGTCTATAGGCTGTTCTAGTTCTGTTATAATGCTACTCTGTGCGGTCGACATTGGTCTATTAAAATGCACAACATATTAAAGCGTCTTTGGTGCTTCCATGTTTTCTACAAAACTAAACCTGAAATCGAGGGGTTTTGACATCATTGGCAGGCGACACAATGACACGATAGACACGCTCCGTGTCACTAGTTGAAATTGCTTATTTCTCTGGATTTAAACATTCTTTGAAACATTTGGGATAATGTAAGTACACAAGTCAGCAAAATATATAACACTGTTCTAGTGGTTTTTGGATATTTTAATAAAAACATCTTACATATTGTGCCTTTAAGAAAATAACATACATTTGTCCTTTTTAATATAATTAGACCTCATATTTGCTCTGTTTGTCTGTCAGGAAAATATGGAGGAGCCAGTTTCTGTCCATGAGATGGACACCAGTAACGGAGTCCTCCTGCCCTTCTATGATCCTGATACTAACGTGGTCTACCTGTGTGGAAAGGTAAATGCTTCGGTTTCAAATAAATCCTGTTATTTTGGAATTTCTGTTCCTATTTTGGAATGCGTCACTGTTTTCTTTAAAACAAAACATGAAGCAGCACAACAGTTGTCAACATAGATAATAAGAAGAAATGTTTCTTTAACACCAAATCAGCATATTAGAATGATTTCTTAAGGATCATGTGACACTGAAAACGGGAATAATGGCTCCTGACAATTCATCAGTTCAGAATGAAATTGTACATTTAAATTGCAGTAATATTTTACAATATTACTGTTTTTACTGGATTTTTAGTCAAATAAATTCAGCCTTGGTGAGCATAAGAGACTTCTTTAAAGAATAGTAAAGTATCTTACTGGCTTTTGAATGGTGGTGTTAGGCCTGGGCGATAAAACGGTATTGATATTTATCGACGGTACACGTTCGATAACAATATAAAAAAAAATTTGATATAGTGCACGGTATAGGCACGTGCCTTGAGTGACGCGAACAGCACACACAAACACGAACACATGCTGAATTGAGTGCTGTGCCAGCCTGTGATGAGGAGTTAAATTAATAGCACAACTTGAACAAACTACAACAGGTAAAGCTGTCAGCTGTGTGGGCATTAGCAGTGTCGTTAACAATTCTTGTTTATAATCGATACCAATAATATGGCTTCTTGTTATCAAGATCTTTAGTCTATAGGCTGTTCTGTTAATGCGTTAACTTTATAATATTTGTAGCGCACTTGCCATCCAGTAATCACAATAAGCTTTGTGCTCTGTTACCATTTAATAAACAAAGTATCAGCTTTCAAATTCTGCTGAATTCATAACGAAATTCAAACAATCGCTCTTAAATGTAGGATGAGCGATCGCTTTAGCGCCTCAGTTCAAGCGGCACATGAACCCATCGTATCTTTCTCTTTATTACTATATTACGAAATAAACGTGAATGCGGAAAATGTGTAAAGCTTGTAAACAAAGCCACGTAACAATATATTTACCTCTGAATAACAATTCGGCATCCATAAGCTCATCAGTATGCTAGAAAAATAACTATAAAGAGGAGCATTTTGCTAAATATATGCGCTATATTGCATAGTCATATTTTTTACTAAACCTGTTGTCTACATAAAAAAAAAAAAGAATGCAAGGAGCTAAAGCTTAAATTCAACACATCCTATAATTGCATGTAGCTAATGAAGCAAAACATACTAGATGTGTGAAAGACATATGACAACATTTATAGGATGCATTGAGGAGGAGCCCAAACTACACTCATTGGCAAAATAATGCTGACATAGTTGTGGTCCGTGATATTGGCACAGACTCTGTGTAATAAGCAGTTCGTTGTGACTGTTTATAGTTGTCAAGCTGGAAAAGACGTATAGAACCTTAGTTCCTAGGACATCTACAAGATTGATTAAAATTAGTGCTGTCAAACGATTAATCGTGATTAATCGCATCCAAAATAAGTTTTTGTTTACATAATATATATGTGTGTACTGTGTGTATATTTATTATGTATATATAAATGTCAATAAATTGGGTTAATTTAAAAATACAGTGGTTAAAAAAAAAAATTCTATGGCTCTTTGTTTTGCAAAAGGTTATAAAAAATGTCAATAATTATCGATACCGAACTATATGAAATAATATATCGTTGATACATTTTTTTAGCTATATCGCCCAGTCCTAGGTGGTGTACACCTGGATGTTTAGAATTGGTAATGTTGTTTTGGAAATGGTACAATAGTTCTGACTGATGTTTTGTCTCTAATAGGGTGACAGCAGTATCCGTTACTTTGAGATCACAGACGAAGCTCCTTTTGTCCATTACCTCAACACCTTTACCACTAAGGAGCCTCAGAGGGGCATGGGATACATGCCCAAGAGAGGGCTGGATGTCAACAAGTGCGAGATCGCAAGGTATAGCAAAAAAATTTATTAAGATGATAGCAGGATGTGGGAGAATCTCATGAAACATCAGGAATATGACCACGTCATATTTCACCCCAAAATAGGTTGCATTTATTTTTGTTTTATCCTATTTTTAGATATATACTGTATGTGTGTGTGCTTATATATACATAATAAATATACACAGTACACACACATATATCATGCAAACAAAATGTTTTATTTTGAATGCGATTAATCGTTTGACAGCACTAATTAAAATGCTGATAAAACAAGAAAAGATGAGACATAACAGATGATGACAGTATGACTGAAAAAAAAAAAGTAAAACACATAGATTCTGAGACACCTCATGCATGTGTGTATTTATATATACATAATAAATATACACAGTACACACACATGTATCATGCAAACAAAATGTTTTATTTTGAATGCGATTAATCGCGATTAATCGTTTGACAGCACTAATTAAAATGCTGATAAAACAAGAAAAGATGAGACATAACAGATGATGACAGTATGACTGAAAAAAAAAAGTAAAACACATAGATTCTGAGACACCTAAAAAAAATAATTTGGTGTCTAATTTTGTTTCTTAATTTTTTTTGTTAATGTCTGGAGCCCTGTTTTTAATGTATAGTGCTAGTTGTCAACACCACTGCATGCAGGGAAGATAGAAGAGTCCCAATCCTCCCAAAAGAGGGCAGCAGTAGACCTGGTTAACAAAAGGCTACTGGGTCCTCCAGAATCAAATTTATATTTCTAACAAGGAGTGACGCATGAATAGAGGTTCTGCATAATTGCTTGGAGTATGCTATTAAGTAAAGATCATGTTCCATGAAGATATTTTGTAAATTTCCTACCGTAAATATATCAAAACTTAATTTTTGATTAGTAATATGCATTGCTAAGAACTTCATTTGGACAACTTTAAAGAAGATTTTCTCTATTTTTTATTTTTTTGCAGCCTCAGATTCCAGATTTTCAAATAGTTGTATCTCGGCCAAATATTGTCCTATCCTAACAAACCATACATCAGTGTATTTCAAAAATAGAGGTTCTGCATAATTGCTTGGAGTATGGTGGTATTTCCCTGTCTCACACCTACCTTCTGCACTAATGTCTGCTACCCTCGTGATCATGTTCTAATAGACCTGTGTGCTTGTGTGTGTTCTCAGGTTTTACAAACTGCATGAGAGAAAGTGTGAACCTATCATCATGACCGTGCCAAGAAAAGTGAGCCTTTTGAGTCGTTTTGCTATTTTGTTTTGAAGAGTACAGGCTGGACTGTATATTCTGAGGCACAGCTTCCTCCTGCTTTGGCTTCTGTTTTCTGGCATTGTCAAAGAGATTAAGAGACAAAAATAGAAAGTTTTGTTTACTTAATCCCTTTGTTTTTAATAAGGGTTCACTGAAAAGAATAACCCTCTGACCCAGGACCAGTGTGAGATCATTTAGGGCCAGCGCTGCCAAGATTTTCACTAGCTATATTAAAAACCTTTAGCTTTGTATGTTTTTTTTTATATTTGCTGAAAATGTTTGTAATTAACATTAAATGTTCAAATATATATTTAAACAAATAAAAAGCAATGCATATTAAGCTCTGAATATCTAGGTGTACACTACTTCTCAAAGGTTTTAGGGTCAGTAAGATATTTCAGTGTTTTTGATATTAATATTGTGAATTTAAATATTTGAATGTAACTGTTTTCAGTATATATTAAATTGTAATTTATTCCTGTAATGACAGCTGAATTTTCAGCAGCCATTGCTCCAGTCTTTAGTTTTACATGATCCTTTAGAAATCATTAGATTATGCTGATTTGTACTGCTTAATATTTTTGTAAAGACATATTGCCATACAACATTCAAAAGATGTTGAAATGAAAACATTTTGTAACATTATGAATATCACTTGATCAATTTAATGCTGTATTTATTAATTAATCTATTTTCTAAAAACTTAATGAACCCAACCTCCGTAAATATATCAAAACTTAATTTTTGATTAGTAATATGCATTGCTAAGAACTTCATTTGGACAACTTTAAAGAAGATTTTCTCTATTTTTTATTTTTTTGCAGCCTCAGATTCCAGATTTTCAAATAGTTGTATCTCGGCCAAATATTGTCCTATCCTAACAAACCATACATCAGTGTATTTCAAAAATTGACCCTTATGACTAGTTTTGTGGTCCAGGGTCACATATAGTATTTCCACATTGCATTTGTTTTAGCATATATGCTGATTTAAATACAATAAATAAATAAAGTAATAGAGACAGGATGGATTTCTTATTATAGTAATGACAATGACAAATAGAGCATATGCATTGTCATTATAATAATGTGTTAATGTAATGGGTAAAAATTTTTATTTATATGCATGTATTTTTTTTTATTTTTCTTTTAAGGTGAAATATGACCTGGATGTTTCTTTGTAAGATATAGTAATGACAGCTGAATTTTCAGCAGCCATTGCTCCAGTCTTTAGTTTTACATGATCCTTTAGAAATCATTAGATTATGCTGATTTGTACTGCTTAATATTTTTGTAAAGACATATTGCCATACAACATTCAAAAGATGTTGAAATGAAAACATTTTGTAACATTATGAATATCACTTGATCAATTTAATGCTGTATTTATTAATTAATCTATTTTCTAAAAACTTAATGAACCCAACCTTTTGAATGCTATAGTAATATATGGTATATAATATATTGAAAAATAAATATTGTTTCCAAAAAATATAAAAATACATGGACAACAAAAGAATGATCAAAAGCCATAAATTCAAAAAAACAGCTTTGACACCATGCAAATGAACTCTGCATCTGCGTCTCTACTTTTGCATGATTGATTGAATGATTTGGATGATTCATATCCTGCATATCTTAACAACTAATAACACTCTTCCCTCCATCAGTCGGACTTGTTCCAGGATGACCTTTACCCCGACACGGCGGGTCCGGATGCCCCCCTGGAGGCCGAGGAATGGTTTGAAGGGAAGAACGGAGAACCTGTCCTGATATCCCTGAAACATGGATACATCCCAGGCAAGAACCGTGATCTCAAAGTGGTCAAGAAGAACATCCTAGACAACAAGATGAGCAAGAATACAGAGAATACTGCCCCTGCCGTCAAGACTGCCACCTCCACACCATCTATCGTAAGTGGGACTCATTTGGTAATTTACTTTTTCCTCTTCGTTTTATCATCCTACACTATTCCGTTTTGCTTTTCTGTGCACTTTTTCCTCCTAAATCTCAATTCTCTGCACTAAATTCCCTGAAAAATTTAGCTGTATTGCACTGTGCTTCAGTTGTGACCTACATGCAGCTAAATTATGTTCAAGGCCAACTTCTCTTTTTGGCTCATATATAGTGTTTTTATAGTTTTAAGGATGTTCTACAGCATACCCAACCCCATGCCTGCTTAACCATATGACAGCAACAGCACATGTGTGTCCTGCCCACTAAACCCAGCTCTCTGGCTCAGAGCTATAATCACAGGAACCAGAGCACTGCCCTACCGACACAACAATGTTAGCTGCTATTTATCACACCTAAAGATTATTCTACAAGCTGACTTAATTATTTGCATCTGCAGTGTTGTAATTGTCAACTACAGTTGTAACTATTAAAAAAATGGAATGTATTTAAAAAAAACTTTGACATGTTTCAAATTTGAAATTGGACATGTTACTGAAATAAGTACTAAAATGACAAACAAAAACTGAAATAAACCAATGAAAGTTCAATATGTAAGTGCATAATACGTAAGCACATAATACATACGTTTTCTGTTCTCTTCTGTTCTGATGTATACCACATTATTATTATTATTATTTATTGTATATTTTCTACTTTTTCCCCTTAGTTTTACTTATTTGAATGTTCTTTCTGTTACTATGTCATATATGTACAGCGGCAGTGGTGTATAAAGTACCTGAAAGCCATACTCAAGTAAAAGTACAGATATCCTACCAGAAAATTACTTTGGTAGAAGTTGAAGTCACCGTTTAGAATATTACTTGAGTAAAAGTCTTAAAGTATGTGATATTTGACACTGAAACTACATCACAAAACCTCTAGATCCAAGATGAAGATCTGGTTCGTTCTGTTCCTGCTGATGCCTCTCTGCATGGGTAAGTCATTTCACATTGTTTGCTATCACTGTTGAAGTTTGTTCGAACTTTGTTGTTGTAAGAGGTGAATCCTTGCTGAGAACAGCTGAAATGGTGTTGATTTTTTACAAAATTAACTTGTTTTTCTTTTTGCTTTCAAAGAAGAGTATTTTGGCAATTCTTTATATGACGATTTTCATTAAAAAAATGTTATGTAAATATCATGTTACTACAACGGGGGTACAGTGGCTCAGTTGAAGTCCATGGTGACCCAGGAGTTTGCATGTTCTCCCCGTGATGGCGTGGGGTTCCTCTCGGCAGTGGTGTATAAAGTACCTGAAAGCCATACTCAAGTAAAAGTACAGATATCCTACCAGAAAATTACTTTGGTAGAAGTTGAAGTCACCGTTTAGAATATTACTTGAGTAAAAGTCTTAAAGTATGTGATATTTATTGTACTTAAGTACGAAAAGTATTTTTTTAATCTTAAACGTACTGAAAGTAAAAGTACAAGTAAATGCAAAATGGGAAAGAAGCAAATAAATATATATAATAAATGTTCAAATAGCAAGATTGTGTTCAGTTTTAACTCTTTCTTCCATTTTGTATTTTTGGGTAAGAATAAGAAGCACTTCATCCGGTACTTAGTGTCTTTCATTCCAACATAAGAAAACATTTCTGGAATCTGCATCTGAAATAGCAGATGTATTTAGATGTATTTACACAGTTTATGTATCTCAGAGGGGACATGGATGTATTTAGACTGCCGTTACAGATGCATAAATAGGCCTAATGTTTTGTTTTTAACATAAAACGTTGAATACTGATATTTGAAATCATTTAAAACATGAAAAAAAGTCGAAATGTGAAAATAAAACCGCCAGTAGGTGGCAGCAAGTGACTGTTAATGAGTGAGTCATTGAGATTCAACAGATTCATTCAAACGACTGATTCATTCAGGAACAACGCATTTGACTGTGTTAATGAGTGAATCACTGAATCATTTATTCAACCAATTCGTTCAAAAAGCTGATTCATTCAATAAGTAAACACCGTCCATTGCTCAGAGACGCAAAACAGTGCTGTGATCTTTGTTCGGAACTATTTTCATTGGCAAAATTGAGCAAAAACAAGCAATATTATGTCTAAAATGTAAGTCAGTTATTGCTTTACTGAACTTATATAAAATGATTATTAAATGTTCATGCTGATATCTGCAGAAAAACGGTACTCTTTGTGTGATATAGATAGATTAAGTAAACTATATTAGATTATATAAATATAAGAAGCGTACAGAAGCATTTTTGCCGTCTACAATTTAGAATGCCTTACATTTTGAGTTTTAATAGACTAATAAATCACGTGCGTGCACTCTGTGATTTGGTGGTATAGCCTACTTGATAATGTTAGATCGCACAGTACAACAACACTTACAATATTATCACAGATGATGCTGTATCGCACACCCCAGACTCGACTTGAATGTAAAATGAATCATCCGCAGTTGTGAGCGCACTTGTTTGCACATGAGCAAAGGTGTTTTTTTTAGGAGTCTAACTTGCAAACGCCAGACCACTGATTCGTCAAACCTGCTTTCCTGCAGTCCGTGTTCTTCTGACTATTTTGTAGTAAGTAACGAAAATGCTTCGGGGAATTGTATCGGAGTAAAAGTATACATTTTAATTAGGAAATGTAGTGGAGTAAAAGTTGGCTGAAATATTAAAAACTAAAATTAAAAACCCAAAAAATACTTAAGTACTGTAACAAAGTATTATTGCTTCGTTACATTACACCAAAGTAATCCATACATACAAAGAAAACAATACAAACAAGTTCAGAAATTAAGTTCTGTGTAATAAAATGGAATGATCCAGGGAAAACGTATTGAACACGCTTACTGAAATTTATTTAATACTTCGTACAAAAGCCTTTGTTGTTAATGACAGCTTCAAGACGCCTCCTGTATGGAGAATCTAGTTGTATGCATTGCTCAGATGTGATTTTGCCCCATTCTTCCACACAAACAGTCTTCAAACCTTGAAGGTTCTGTGGGCCTCTTTTATGAAATCTAATCTTTAGTTCTTTCCATAGATTTTTCTATTGGATTCAAGTCAGGTGATTGGCTGGGTCTTTCTAGCAGCTTTACTTTCTTTCTCTGAAACCAAATGAGAGTTTCTTTGGCTGTGTGTTTGGGATCATTGTCTCGCTGGAATGTCCACCCTCATTTCATCTTCATCATCCTGGTAGATGGCAGCAGATATTTTTCAAGAATGTCTCTGTACATTTTTCCATTCATCCTTGCTTCAATTATATGAATTTTGCCAGTGCTACACCATGATGTTTAGGGGTGAGGTGCAGTGCCATTTGACCTCCAAATATGGTGTGTATTATGGCATCTGACCAGACTATATTTTCCCAGTATTTCACAGGCTTGTCTAAATGTTGTGCAGTAAACATTAAATGAACTTCAACATGCTTTTTCTTCAGCAATGGAGTCTTGCGTGGTGAGCGTGCATAAAGGCCACAGCGGTTGAGTGCATTACTTATTATTTTCTCTGAAACAATTGTACCTGCTAATTCCAGGTCTTTCTGAAGCGCTCCACAAGTGATCCTTGGCTCTTGGACAGCTCTTCTGATAATTCTTTTCACTCCTCTGTCAGAAATCTTGCGAGGGGCACCCGGTCGTGGCCGGTTTATGGTGAAATTATGTTCTTTTCACTTCCGGATTATGGCCCCAACAGTGCTCACTGGAACATTCAGAAGTATAGAAATCTTTCTGTAACCAATGCCATCAGTATATTTTGCAACAATAAGGTACCCATCATGAAATGTTTCTTGTGTGACACGTTGGTAATGAGACACCGTTCTATAGGCCATCGGTTGGGACTAAACCAGCTAATATTAATTTCCATTTACAAGGGGCAGGACTGCTTTCTAATTACTGATAGATTTCAGCTGGTGTCTTGGCTTTCCATGCCTTTTTGCACCTCCCTTTCTTCATGTGTTCAATACTTTTCCCCTGTGTCATTCTTCTTTATTATAGAACTTAATTTCTGAACTTGTTTGTATTATTTTCTTTGTATGTATGGATTACTTGGATTGTTACCGACATCTGGTGCAAATTTCATGTCAACAGCACCTTTAGAAATATATTTACTGAGAAAAATGGTGACGTGTTCAATACTTATTTTACCCGCTGTATTTATATATGTATGTATTTACTGAGAGTTCCTGAAAAACCCCAGTAAATTCCTTGTGTGTTTGCGCACACTTGGTGAATAAAAGCTCATTCTATTCTATGCTATTCTAAATATAAATAAAAAACAAAAGCAAAACTCTAAATTGTTCAAATTAAAGAATTGACTAGTTATAAATTTAAAACTAAAAGCCAATACAAAATGTTAAATATATACTATAATAGTAAATACATAATACTAAATGAATGCTGGCATATGGGGGCTAAGTGATATTCTAGTAAATCACAAAGTGAACCTCAATATTTAGCTACTGTAAATGTGTTTTGTAAAGAAAGTGTTCAATGGTGAATTCAAATCAGAATTTCAAACTTGCGTTATTTTAACTGGATTCAAAATGCTTTTTTGAGATTAGAATTGGAAAACTAGGTGGTTGTCATTTGTTATTAAAGTAAAAAAAATGCAGCAGTTTTATTATTACGTATGTGTGTGTGTGTGTGTGTGTGTGTGTGTGTGTATATATACTGTATATATATATATATATATATATATATA